TTATTTTTGCGCATTCTCAGAGAGACATAACAAGAGGGTGTTAAACTGTATCAAGCAGACCAGGTTTCAGAGTGTGCTACGGCAGTGGTCCCCAACCTTGGGCCTCCAGATGTTCTTGGACTACAACTCCCAGAAGCCTTCACCACCACCTCTGCTGGCCAGGATTTCTGGGAGTTGAAGTCCAAGAACATGTGTAGGCCCAAGGTTGGGGACCACTGTGCTACGGTATGTAACATAATTTACTTTGTAGCAGAGAGAGCTGGTTCTGGCATAGAAAAGTTGACACCTATTGTTAATGTAACTTCAAGTTTAAGAATGTGTCTTTTAACCATTGTACTATTTAAAGAAAGAACAGTGGTACCCCGCAAGATGAATGCCTCAGACAACGAAAAACTCACAAGACGAAAACCTCTTGCGAGTTTTTAGGTGCCCTGCAATACAAAGATATTTTCGTTTTGTGAGGTACTTTTCCAATAGGACTGCATTGAAATTTAATTAATGCATTCCTATGGGCCAAAAAATTCTGAAAAAGTCACTTACCAGGTAGGGAGCTGGGGAAGCATCATCGGAGGACTGGTGGGGGGAAGCTGGAGATCGCGGTTGCAGGGGACCTCCGCCAGTCCTCCGATGGTGCAGGGGAAGCCTTTAGAGGCTTGCCAAGCACCATCAGAGGACTGGCAGGGGTCCCGTGCAACCACGATCGCCGGCTTCCGAAGCCTCTGAAGACTTCCCCAGCACCATCGGAGGACTGCCGGGGCACCTCTGAAAGCAGCGATCGCAGTTGTGGGGGACCCCCACCAGTCCTCTGATGGTGCTGAGCAAGCCTCCGAAGGATATCCGCCTGCCCTATTTGAGCACTTTCCTTTCCTCCCATTCTGGATGGGACAACCTGAGAAAAATTTGACAGCTCCGAGGTGGCACTATTAAGGAACTTATCTTGATAACAACCAGATACATCTACTCCATCATGCATTTCATGTCAAGAGGCTAACTGGACTGGTGGCCTAGCCTTACTCCATCACTTGTGATGAGACAATGTCCTTCATCAAATCTGAGGGGAGCAGAATAATTTTAGAGAACTGTGTGGGTTATTGAGCTCTGTCCTCTGGGAGAGAGGAATGATAGTTTCAGCCAGGAAGAACAGCCTGGGAAGCTGTCACTGCTGCCATCCATCCAGCCTGTGCTGCTTGCCTTGCTTAACAGCAACCGGTCTTGAAATCAAGCAATGATGCAGATCCACATTAAATGGCATAGCAGGGGATCTTTGACTGGAAGGATCTCACGCATTATTTTTAAATGGTCAGTGTGATGAAATTGGTTATGAAAGCTAGAAAGTGATTTACTGATGGGATTTGTAGTTGTGGAATTAGCCTAAAAGAATCCATTTTAGTCTCCGTGTGCTCGAGAGTGGAAAATTCCAAATTTGACTCACAGAAACTGGCCGAGGCTAAACCGTTATCTGGTTGCCTTAGTAACAGAGGCCTAGTAAGGGAGATGAGCAGAGACATAACATTCCACCAGATCATAATAACACCTGGAGTTCTCATGAGAATCTTGGGCGGGACAAGTTACTTTTTTTCTTACTCCTGATTGGTTGTTAGCTGTGAAGAAGAAGGAGGGAGTGAGTTCCAGCAGAGAGAGCAAGAGAGAACATGGAGGACGGAGAAGAGGGACTTTTTCCATTTAATGGATTATAACAGTGAACTTTTTAATGAAAGACGGAGAAGAGGGACTTTTTCCGTTTAATGGATTATAACAGTGAACTTTTTAAAATGGACTGATGAAGTTTGGATTTTCCAGAAGATTGGTATGTTTTTGATTGGACTATGGACTATGATATTCACAGTATTATTCTAAGATGTAGATTTTTGCTTAGTTAGAGGGGAAGCTTGTCTTTCCTATTCTTTAGCTAGTAAGTTTGTTATTTTTCTTTTTTATAGCAGGAAACCAGTTACTTGTCTAACTGGGTAACATGGAAATGTATATATGTGCCTCGCTTTTGCATACACTTTATTCTTTCAGATCTTTATTTTTCTAATAAAACAAAATATTCTTAATATCTGGAGTTTGGCTTCTTGAATAGAACAAATGCTACAATTACTCAAATTGACTTACTGGTACTTAATTGGTTATTCTTTATAAAGGCCACGGAAAAGTATTGCTACCTTGGGTCCAATATATTCCTGAGTGCTAGGAGGGTTTAATATTCCTAGAGCTCATGTTTATATCTTGGTTCTCAATGGAAATTGGGTCAGACTTGGTGGATGAGGGGAAGTGATGCTGCTTGGGTAAAACCTATGGACCTGTTTTGCCTGTTTTAGGAGCACACTCACTCAGAATCCTCTCTGTCCCGTGGCAAACGGTCTTCTAGGAGACTTGCTTTGCTCACAGTCAGGATCCCAGCATTTACTACTGTGGGTTACCCAGGCAACAGATAATGGCAGGTGTACAGCAGGAACATCAAGTGGGCCATAATCTGCCCACCACAGAACAGATAATACAGGCCAAGGTGGAGAGAAAGAGACCTCGTGTACAATAGCTTCCTACATTATTTCTGGTATATTTCCATATTTTCATGATCTGAAGTCTTTTGCAACAATGAAGGTGTGTGTTACTAAATCTCTATAAACCATCGGCTCCGGAAGAGTCCTGAATCATTATGAATTTTTTAATTTCCCTTAATGGAAAGGTCAGCAATGAGCATACTCCAAAATGTTCTGCCTGATTACTCTAAGACTTAATTTTCTAAAGAGATTCAGGCATTTGATGAAAATGTCACTGACCAATTTTTAAAGATAGACCTTTGGTCAATGGATAATCTTGATAATTTATTCTTGGAAGATGGTGTTTTATATTATACATTGTTTTTGACCTTTTAAACTTTTATATATTTTGTTAGCAAGACCCCTGGAGTTTATCATCCTCATCAAGGGAAAAATAAAGGAGAGGGGGAGAAGATCTCACAAAATTTGGATTTGAGATCTGTACGTTATGTTCATAAATATTCCTATATATTAGAACAAGTCCCTATTTATTCAGTGAGACTTCTTCCTAACAAATAGGGTTAGGGCTACTGCTGCTGAGGTGTTAAGGCCAGATTGAACAACTGACATTACAATCTGCATATTTGTCCACAGAAGCAAAACTCAACGCATGAAATGAGGGTAGCTCCCAGGCAGGTATATATTGGATTGCAGCTGATGAGTGTACCCTTATTACAGGGATGATGAATTATCAGAAATGGAGACAAAACCATTTTTGAAAGGATGAGTTTTGTTCACATACTCTCCAATCAGGGACATTTGCATCAGATGTCCCATTTTAAGTGTGGCTTCATTCATTGCCTGATCAGTGATAAACACCATGAAGCAGAGCCGGAGGTGTGAATGTTGGGGAAATTAAAATGGCAAACTGGAAACATGGGACAAATTAACTGAGGGAGAGAGAAAAAAATCACTGAAGAAAGGTAGACAGATGGCTCCCACTGCACCTGTTCAGAGGGTGAAAAATTTACTGCAAATCCTTGGTGGTGTTGGGAATACAAAAAATATCAAGGGAAATGCAGTGTTTCAAGGTGGAAGATTTAACTTGACTCATTTTGTCTACATGGAGTTTGATAGCTTTGTATTAGCTTGATTATACAGTACCACATGTGCCATTCTTAATCCCCTTCATGGATGATGATTGTGCAGTTGCTCCTGACTTAATAGTCAGGAGCAACTGCACAATCATCATCCATGTTATAACATTTTTAATGAGTGTGCTGACAAGGCCCTCCATTTCAACAGTTTCCCATCCATAGGGTAATAAATCAGCTCCAGCTTGAAATGTTCATGATCATTCCCCAGCCATCATCACAAGGAGCAGCCTTTATATCCAGCTAGACCTTTGGCCCATCTAGAATGTCCATGAAGAAAATGGATGGAGAAAGAGATTGAATGGTGCAATCCAGCAAAGCTCAGAATTGTTTTATTTTTGTTTTGTTTTTGTTTTGTTTTCTTTTTGGACTCGATTTCCTTGAATCCTCAAGGACTCCACCCTGAATGTACCCATTTCATGTGACACTATTGGATTTCTAAGCAGGAACAGGCCTAGTTCAGTGGGAGGACCTAGGTATTCATTTTACCAAACTCACAAGGATGGAAAGCCGAGCCAGCCTCCTGCCAGCTACCTGAGCCTGTCAGGATCAAAATCATGTCATGAGCAGAGACTTGACTGCAATACACCAGTTTAACCACGGTGTCACACAGTTCCTTGTGGTAGCTTGGCTTTGTTTGATTTTAATTATTTTATGATTACATTTTGTTTGACTTCTTTTTTATTGTTTTACGAAGATGGCAAGTCACCCTGAGCACTGCTTTGCAGTGGGAAAATGAGATACTGATGAGAGAAATAACAAGCAATGGTGAGAACGGCCCAAGGAATTTTCCAGCCTGCAGCAAAGGACAAGATGGCCCTTTGACCTCTGCCACGTGCAAAAGCCAACCTCCGTGGCAGTTGAATCTTTCTTAACTGCAGGTGCTGGCACAGCATCTCCCACTAAACTTGATGGCCACAAGCTAGCATGAAAGGTGTAAGGCAGGCTGTGTGACCCCATGGTGTAGTCCTCCAGCCCCTTGCCACCATTCCCATCCACCCCCACTACTGCCACACGCAGCAAATGCTCCTGTTTGTTCGACCTCTGCTACCCTACTGGTTATGCTTGGTTCATGTGAAATTAGCACACCTGGGGGATAATGGAAGGGTGGGAAGGAATGCCTGGGTCCAAGTGTACAAGACCCACTAGGCTTCTGTTAGACGATGTGCCTCTTTTGCCTCTTTTTCAGCGTGGAAGGAGCAGATGCTCCAGGTTGATGTCTTTCCAAGCAGCAAATATCTCCACCCTCTAAATTCTGGCACCCCAAGTCAAAGCTCCAGGAATCCTGCCCTTGTTATGGCTCTGCCTCCTGTCCGACATTATGGCCAGCTCATTTGTTTTCCAGGAGGGTCGATGTACTTACATAAACCTTAGTTCTGATTCTCTTCTGACTAAGACTTCCCGAAGTCTTTGGATCTTGGCCATCTCTAGTTCAATCTCCTCAGGCATCATGGTTGTTTCAGCCATTGAAATGATGTCAAGCTGGTCTATACAGATTTAAAACAGACAGAGAATGGGGTTAACTGATAAGAACAACAATCATGGGCTGTCAAGTCAATTTGGACTTTTCCAGACAGAGAATACTCAGAAGTGGTTTACCATTTCCTTCTTCTGTCATCTCCCCCCCCCCACACTTCACCCGGATGGTGCAGCTTGCCCAAGGCCACACGGGCTGGTTCTGCTCACAAGGAGGCACAGTGGAGAATCAAACTGCCAACCTCTGGCTCTGCAGCCAGAGACCTAAACCTCTGAGGTATCGAGACTGCTCGAGGTTAGCTAGACTGGCTTAAGAATCTGTTAAAGAAAGTAAGGCAATTCACCAAGAGCCACGGAGAAGTAATCTACCTCCAAAGTGGAGCCTGAATATGTTCAGAGCTTTAATTAGGGGAAAATAACTCCTCCAGTTCAGTATCATTTTACAAACAAGCTGAATATTATCTAATATGAGGGACCTACAACAAAATGTTACTGAAGACTGTATCTGTCTTCAAGGTTCCAGCCAGCCCATCAGCTCTGTCTTCTTCATACAGAGCCCATTCCATCCCTACCGCCACTTCTACCGTCAACCACCCCATGCCTGCTACAGATACTTGGAACCCCCTACCTCCTCTTTAGCCTCCCTTAACCTTGAACAGTTTCCCCACCCCTGCTTGCTTGCATAGTCCTTTAGTGTAGTCTAGAGCTTCTAGGATTGCTGCCTTGTCATGGTGAAGGGACTTGAGTAACTTAGAGAAGCTATGGGCTATGCCGTGCAGGGACACCCAAGACGGACAGGACATTGTGGAGAGTTCTGACAAAACACGATCCACCTGGAGCAGGAACAGGCAAGCCACTCCAGTATGTTGGCCAAGAAAACTCCATGGACAGAAACAAAAGGCTAAAAGATATGACGCTGGAAGATGGGCCCCTCAGGTCGGAAGGAGTCCAACATGCTACTGAAGAGCACAAGTACAAGTAGCTCCAGAGTTAATGAAGTGACTGGGCCAAAGCCGAAAGGACGCTCAGCTGTGGACGTGCCCAGAAGTGAAAGGAAAGTCCGATGTTGCAAAGAAAAATACTGCATAGGAACCTGGAATGTAAGATCTATGAACCTTGGGAAGCTGGAGGTGGTCAAACAGGGGATGGCAAGAATAAACATTGACATCCTTGGCATCAGTGAACAAAAATGGATGGGAATGGGTGAATTCAATTCAGACGATTATCATATCTACTATTGTGGGCAAGAATCCCGTAGAAGAAATGGAGTAGTCCTCATAGTCAACAAATGAGTGGGAAAAACTGTACTGGGATACAATCTCAAAAATGATGGAATGATATCAATACGATGACCTTTCAGCATTACAGTCATCCAAGTTTATGCACCAACGACGATTATCATATCTACTATTGTGGGCAAGAATCCCGTAGAAGAAATGGAGTAGTCCTCATAGTCAACAAATGAGTGGGAAAAACTGTACTGGGATACAATCTCAAAAATGATGGAATGATATCAATACGAATCCAAGGCAGACCTTTCA